TTAAGATGGTGGCCACATGGAATAGCAGCCTCCATATTAAAATATGACTTTTCCCAACAAAGGTCAGGCTTCTTCTTCCCATCATGCCTCTTCTCCCACCAAACAAGTAACCTAATATTTGCTACCTCCTAACAGCTAGTGATGCTGGGCATGGTGGTGCACTCCTGTAATCCCAGCACTCGGGAGGCTGAGGCAGGAGGATCTCTGTGAGTTCGAGACCAGCCTGGGCTACATAGTGAGTTCCAGGTCAGTCTCAACTACATAGTGAGACCCTGTCTCAAAACAATCAAACAAACAGCTAGTGATGTCACAGGTTCCTCCAGTGTCTTAATACTACCTCACTCAACTCCACCCCACTCCTATAAAAGAAGCTCCCTGTGCTGCCATGTTGCTTCTCTCTCCTTTCTTCAGAAACAGCCTAGCAGGTCCTCCCATAATAAAGGCTTGTTGTAGTCCTCGTCTGGTCCTGGTTTTTTGCCTCTTTCACCTACCAAGACCAAAAACGTCCCTACACAACATAAGGACATCTTAGGGTTAGACAGGGTATACAGTTGGACTGCATGGTTAGCCAAAGCTTCAGGGCTACTCTTTTGTTTTGTTTTTGAGACAAGGTCTCACTGTGTAGTTCGGCCGACCTTGAACTGACTGTGTAGCCCAGGCTGCACAGTGATCTTGCTGTCATGCTCCCAAGTGCTGGGATCAAAGGCATGCACCACAACACCCTTAAGGGCCATTTATTCCTAAACCGGTCAGCCAGATACTCAGCACTGCTGGTTGCTATGGCCAGTGGCCCAACAAAGAATGAGAACAAAAGTAGCATTTCGAGACCTTGGGTTCAATACTCTACCATCAAAACAGATAAATGAAATGAAAGACTAAAGGCGATAAATAAAATAAATACCAAAATAGATAAATAAAATGAAATAGGGCTGGAGATATAGTTGTGTCAAGGCACTGGGTTCAGATTTCTTGGAGAGGAGAGAGAGAGAGAGAGAGAGAGAGAGAGGAGAAAGAGGAGGAGGAGGAGGAAGGGAGGGAGGGAGGTAGAAGGAGAAAGTTCTTGTGTGTTTATTTGCAAAGAAGGTCCATGGTTTTGGGGGAGGGGGAATCTAAACAGAGTGTTTCTTTCCCTCCCAAACTATCTCTTCCTCTGCCCTTCTTTTATCTAGTGAAGTGTAATGAAGCCACAGTAGAAATTTGCCAAAAGCATCTTCTCTCTTTTCTTTCTAACAAGAAAATAAACTGTCATGGTTACTGCCCCCTACCCCCATCTGCCCCTAGCTCACAGCTTCCTACTTGAAACTTCTGTTTCTCCCAAACTATAACCTTCCCCATGGACTCCAGCCTGGAACACTCTTCTACCCCACCTCACCTTATCTGACACTCCCACACAGTCTCTCAGAGACTGCGATAAACCTGAATACATTAAAAAAAATTTTAAGTGTCCTGACAGAGATGAAAATGGAAGGGTTGCAAACGTTGTGTTAGACACTGCTCTTTTTATTATTTTAAAAAAATTTTTGTACCTCGGATTGAACTCAGGACCTTTCGCTTGTGAGGCAGGCATGGGAACCACTGAGCTAAATCCCTGGCCCATTGTGTTGTAATTTTAATGTTAGCTTCTGTGAATGTGGTCAAGTCTGAGGCCAACATCTATGAATGAATTCCACCAGAAGACTGTACTTTGATTGCAGGTTCTGTCCATGGCCATACTTGTGAGGGAGACCTTGGAGATACACAGCTGGTTACTTTGATAGGGGCAAGAATGATACAAATCTGTTGGGAACAGACATTAGGAAAGCTATTTAAAAAGAAAAAAGTACCTCTGCTTTACTGAGTACTTGCTGATACGGTGGTGAATAGGGCTAATGCCTCCCCACTCTTGGGGAGCACGTGTTAGTAGAGTCCCCTCCTCACATTTTGTAGACGGCGCATCGGCAGAATGTGTCTAGAAGGATTTCTTTCTAATAGTGATGAGTGCATGCTTGAAACAGTGCTGGGCACAAGTGAATAGATGCATGGAAGCTGCTATTACTATACCATCTACCATCTCTGGATTGGGACAGTGATTGCCCTCCACGGTGGCAAGGATGCAAATGCACCTGCCAGGTAGCAGGGGCCTCACTGTTAGTTTCATTAGCCTTTGGATTGTGGGACAGAAGGCAAGCATACGCTTGGGGTTTGGTTCTTGCATTTTCTGGATCTAATTTATCTGTCTTTCTTAGTCTCCCTATCTTTCTACTCCCAGGAGGCCTCTGCCTCATTCTCCACCCAAGTCGACCTATCATCCTCCTTCAGGACCTAGTTGTAGGGCGTTTCCTTTTCAAACTGACACTTGCGTCCTCGCCTGCACCCAGCTCAACACAAAGTAGCTACGTACCCTGAAGTGTGTAGGTGAGACAAACTGAGCTGCTGGATCGGAAGGTGAGTCCGGCTTGGGAGAAATGTGAGCTCAGAGCAGAGCGGGATTTGAAGGGTTTTGGGGAGGAGGTGACCCTGCGGGGGATGAGGGCTCTTCAAGGGGAGTGAGAGAAAAGAGCATTTAAACTCTACCTCTTTCTCTAGGCCGATGGCTCTTCTTCAAGCCAATAAGGATCTCATTTCTATGGGAATGAAGGAATTCAGTGTTCTGCTGAACCAGCAGGTAAGGGAGCTGGCTGTCCGCTGGGTTTCAGGGGACAGGCCTGGAGAGTGTGTGTCGAAGTGAGGGTGGAGAAGGGAGAATAATCAGAAGCTGTGAGGGAGATGGAGGAGTGGGTGGAAAGAGCTGAGGACAGGGAATACAAATTAGAGAAAAGAAGATGGAAGAGCTTGTGAGACTGTTCTGACATTCTTGAATCTCATTCTCTCTCGCCCACCTCCCACCCCCAGGTTTTTAACTATCCTCTTATCACAGAAGAAGACATGGTGATTGTAGTGGATGACTGGGTGAACATCTACATCAACTATTACAGGAAGCGACTGACAGGGGAGAAGCAAGAGCAAGACAGAGCTCTGCAGAAACTTCGGCAAGAGCTGAAGACTCTGGCCAATCCCTTCCTAGCCAAATACAAGGCCTTCCTGAAGTCCTGCGAGGGTGAGAGTCACACAGAGCCTTCCTCCTAGCCCAGAGGCCTGAGTCTTCCTGTCTAGGAGCCCTTAAATCCCACGCTGTGCTCTTCCTGGCCTCGGGTGATGGTCTTTCATGGTATTACTCTTCCTTGACATCCCAATAAATACTACTTTGGCTGAACTTTCTGGTTATTCATTGTTTCACCTTGGCTTGTGAAAGCAGTTGGTTCCTCTTCCTTCAACTCTCCTTCTTAGATTATAATCTTGGAGACTTTAATTCAGCAGGGGAGGTGAGCAGTTTTAGTAACACCTGGGCGTACCACCGTAGGCTGAAGGGTGGGCCAGGCAAGCAGGGCCTAAAGAGAAAGAGCTGGGCCAAGGAGAGTGATAGAAAAAGGGGACAGAAACCCTCCAGAAATTGGGTTTCTGTGATGAATTTGTCGAGCAGGAAGTTGTTTCCCATCTCCTTGTTCATTCTGCACCAGATCCGCTGCCTTGATGTTGTAATGCCCTTCTCGTGCTCTGGTAATGCTCTAGGATCTTCTGACTGCGATAACCCAGAGGACCACAGCAATTCAGAGCTGTAGTAGACCTCGGGAGCCATGCAGTATGTCCCTTATAGTTCAGACTTGAAACTCCTCTTCTTTGGCTTTCCCATCCCTCAGCCCCAGATCCCTGACCAGGACTTCCCAGGTGCTCCAACTTTTCTCTAAGGCTTCCATAAGCTCATTTTAAGGTATGGAGTAGAACCAGGGCAAGCCAGGCTCGTGAGCTTTGAAAAATAAAATGAATTTCCTCCCCCATCCAGTATGGAGGATGGAGCCAAGGAGAGCTCTGCAGTTACATACATGAACCCTTTCATTTTAAAAATTTTGTCTGCAAAGCAAAGGCTGTGGCCTGCACAGGAAGGATTCACAGGCAGGAGGGGTGGGTGAGGAGGCCAACTCAGTCAGATGGGGACCAAGGTGTGTACCGGGACCTGCCATTTGCAGTGATTTTCTGTGTCCCCTGTTCTGTGGGAAGAGTTTGGGTCTGGAAGTGATTGTTCCCTAGTTCGTGTCACTGGCAGGCTTTTTCTTCCTGCCTGTGAACGCTTTTTGTTTTACAGTCTTGTTCAGGGTAAAGAGGGAATCGGCTCAGTGTCTCCAGCCATTCTTCCAACCTTGGAGGTGTGAGGAGGCCCCAGACTCACCAAGAGAGTGAGTCTGTTTCCCATGGAAACAGGCTGTGAGCACCTTGGAGGTATGATTGAAGCTTTCCTTGTACTTCCCAGGAGATCTTTGTTTGTCAATGGGGACTACAGCCCCACCTTTGCAAAAAGAGCTGGATTAGTATGCATGGGTGGAAGAAAATGAGGGAGGAACCATATGAAAAAGTTATATTTACATTGCTGCTGTGAGCAGCATAGCTGGGGGGGAAAAAAAAAGGTCTGAAGCCACATTGGGCTCCTTCCACAAAGTCAATCTTTCCAGTAAAGTCTAGACTTGGGAACTATTTAATCATTTCTCATGTGTTCAAAGGAAGTGGCCAGTCAACAGGGATGTGGTCAGTAGGTGGGAAGTTCAACATCTGAACTCTGTTTCAAATTGAGACATTGCAAAAAATTTTTTAGGACAGAAAAACTGTTCAGTGGCACTGCATGTTCTCACATTCTTATCACCTGTATGTCTAATCACGAGTCCACCTACAACTAACATTTGGAGTATTTTTATTTTTTGGAGATGATACGAATCATTAGGAACTGATGGTTCATAAAAAAGATAAAGGTGCCAAAGCCATGAAAACCTCAAATCCATTACTACTTCTGAAAAAATTAACAAGAATTAGCAAAAAGGATAACATCTCTTTTGTTAAAACAGTGCCTGACTCACTCTTAGAAATAAGGTTGTTAGCAATAAATAGGTAAACATTACAAAATAATCTTGTCTTAGTCTTATCCTGATATTGGTCCTAACTCGTGGGCCAATTTTCAACCTGAAACTCACCTTTAATTTCACCTTCAACTGTAATGCCCTGTCCTACCTGACCTTAATCTTGACCATGACAGATATTTGACCCTGAATCTCATGCTGATTGTCTGTCG